AAACTATGTTGGTAATTTCCAGAATTTATGATTCAAAGTTTTTGTAAAACTTGCTCTGTATGATAGCCAGACTGAGTATTTTTCTTTTTTGTACAGGTATGGCATTACTAGGGATGGAGAACGTGGTAACAGATCCCACATTTATTCTCAGGAGGAGATTTTAAATGAAGCTGTAAGTATAAAAAAATTAGTACCTAATGTATCTGTAGATATACTATAGTTTGTGTTTCACTTCACTTTTACTACAGATCATAAATAGTTTAGTTTTGACTCTCACTGTAGCATTCTCATAGAAAAGTTATTTGAAATTTCTTGTAGATAGTTGAGGTGAAACCAGTTTCTTTAAGCAACCTACCAGTAGGTCAAAGGATATGTGCCTTCTGGAGCCAACAGTATCGATGCATGTATCCTGGAACTGTAGCCAAATGTAAGATGTCACATTTTGCCAAGTTATATTCTTATATGATTACATTCAGAAGCTATGTTTGTGATCAAGGTGTGTCTAGAAATATTTAATGAATTCTTAATTATGAGAACGAATGAAGGATATTACTTTTGGAATGGAACATACCAGGTAATGGTAGATATGTATGAGAGGAGAAATGCTTAAGTTTGTCTTTTAGGTCAGTAGAGCTGACTGCTAGCCATAAAAATTTTATTTTATATGACAAAGTATTTCAGTATTCAGATTTTTATACACTGACTGTCATATCATAAATTAATACATTTTTTGCAAGTTACTCATGAGAATTGTGGGTGTGATAATTGTTTAAGAAATACACTGTTGTCTGTTGTACTCATATTTTAAAATTTGTAGACAAGTACTTGATTTATGGCTAGGTGGAACCAATGTTTATCTTCAATGAAAAAAATAGTTTCTTTTATTGAAAAGAATAACTGCAGAAATCTTTAACTCGTTGATATTCACTTGTAGCTTTGAGCCCAAACCATGATAAGGAACAAGATATGGTGTATGTGGAGTTCGATGATGGGGACTCTGGCCGAATACCTTTGAAAGATATATGTATGCTTCCACCACATTATCCAATTGTGTGTAAGTTTAAAATTGGGTTTTTTCTTTTGTTCTTTTTTTTTTTTACATAGAGTTACATTATCATTTTTTGTATGTTTTGAAACTGTTTAGTAATTGAAATCAAACTAATAAGCACAAAATTGTGAACTACACTGTATCAATGGAACCCCTAAACCCCATGTTGTACCTCTCAGGTTCAAAATTGTGAAGTAAAAGTTATTGTATAAGTTCTGATTTTTTCATTTCTATTTGCAAGCTTCAAGTTTAAGTTTTATTTATATTAGACAAAGAGTTTTCAATGGATAAGTTAAGTATATAGAAAACTGTTTGATTCATGTGTTTGTAGAAAGTGTATTTTTCTTGTTCTATTAACTTTTGTGTTAGAAACAGTCTTATAAAGAACAAAGAAGTTGGGGGTTAGAGATTATTATTAGTGAACAATATTTGACTATTGTGGTTTGATTTTCTTACAGCAGCTGATTTCAATCCTCTTATGATTCTGGGAAAAGGTCGACAGCATCAACTTTCAGGAGAAAGCGTTACTGATAATTCATTCAGCATGCCAACTCTCAGAAGACCAAAAACCAAAACGAAAAAGAATAAAAGTAAATGCAAGTCAGGAAAGAAAAGTAAAAACTTGTTCATTTTAAAAGTTATTATGAACATATTTTGCATATTTTGTTGCTCTACTTTGCTTAAGTTTTATTTGAAAGAACATCATTTAAAAAATAAGCTCATGTCTTGGTCTATTCTTTACAGTATAGTTAAAGAAAAGATTATAGTTTGCTAACACATTGTTGAAAAACAGACATTTAACATAACTTAGAAAAATTATGGTCCTTTGGATACTTTTTTTCCACAAACTATAAATTTTTTTATTCAAGAAACTATGTTGGTAATTTCCAGAATTTATGATTCAATGTTTTTTGTAAAACTTGCTCTGTATGATAGGTTACAGTGGCCCCCCAGTGGCACAGCAGTATATCTGCAGGCTCACAGCACTAGAAACTGGGTTTCTGTACCCACGGTGGGCAGAGCACAGATAGCCCATTGTGTAGCTTTGTGCTTAACTGCAAACAACAAGTTTATACAGAATTCAAATTTTTCTTCTGGTTATACAGTTTCAGATGATTTAATATTATAATTTTGCTTTTTATTATTTTATACGCTAAAACTTATTGGTGCTACTATACTGTGCGGTCTACACAGATACTATCATCATCACCATTTTAATGATTCACTAAAACATAATTTCTTGCTAAATAATTTATATATATATCCATGTTTTTGTTCAGCAAATAATAATAATAATTTAATAAGTTGTGTATTCCAAAAAAGTACCTTAGCTTTAGGTTATAATTGTGCTAGTTTTGATTATTGGAATTTATTTCATTCTGATTATATTTGCCCCCTAAAACGTTATGTAATGGTATTTTGTACTTTATTAGTTTAAAAGCATTATTTATAATAAATGGTGCCAATTTCAAATAAATGAAAATTAAAACGGTGATGATGATAATATCTGTGTCGACTGCACACTATAGCGTAAATATTTATGTAGACTGCATGCTATTGTAGCACCAACTTATTCCTCTTTCTTTACATTGTTGACAATAAATGAACAACCACTGAGAAACAAATATTATGTACAGTTTACAGGGTTCCCACACTTCTATTAAACTTGTAGTTTTCAAACAATTCTGTAGAGTCTACATTAACCATGATTAACTGGAAACATCTTGTATAACTAACTATGTATCTAATGGTGGATTTTATAGACATCTTCTAAACTTTTATTATTGGTTCACTAAAGTAAATACAAAATTAATAATGGCTTACTTCTGTTTTGTTATGTAAAATGGAAGACATTTCAACATAAGCTAGTAATAGGATTTTTATTTATATTATTCAATTTTATATGAATAACGATATGAAACAATGGCAAAAGCAAATTAATGTCATATCCCAGCCAGCCTGAAGAGCTCTTGTATTGAGCAAAAGGCCTTATTGGCACTGAATGTTGCAGAGAAGTATAGTTGACATCTTATAACATATTATTTTTTATTTCCATAAGTTCTTAGAATATACATATTTAATGTTTCTAATAATGACGTCAATTACCTCAATATCCAATAGCTGTCACTGTTTGTAAAAGGGTTGTTGAATAATAAAAAAAAAAAGATGAAAGATATGTTGTTTTTCAAAGGACATCGATTATTTTCCAAATCAAAAACAGATAATAGATTAGGTATATGATGGCATTACACAGTAAATGGGGAACTACAAATCGTGATAAAAGTCACATAACTGTGGGAATTTTTAAATGTTCTTACAGATCTCGTATCTGCTGTAAGTACAATGGGTTTTTCTTCTAGTTAAATATCAGAACTCATCATCTGAGCTTGACATACGGAAGCCCATAAGAAATGATATTTATGCGTATAGGTAAAAGCAGCTAAATGCTAGATGAATAATGATGTATATACTATGCTGCATGGGGAGAAAAGTTAGATTGTTAAGATTTCTAAATAGAAACACTCAACATTTACGTTGGAGTATACCCAGTCTTATTCCAATGAAATACTTTAATTGTATAATGCAATTAGAGATTATGCAATGTTTGTTGATCTTTTAAGAGCATAATGAAAGTTGTTTCTCTTCTCCATAAAATTCTGCTCACACGTACAGTTTGATTCTGTAGTTTGTATTATTAGTATAATATTATCCTGGAAAATATTTCAATTTTGAAGCATGAAAACCCTGAGTATAGCTATAGAACATTCTGATGAAAGAATGGAAAGCTTGCAATGAAATAGAATTAATATAAATTATTGGGAATTGTATGACTTCATATGTTCAATCTGCAGTATTAGTTTAAAAAAATGTGCTAGTGATTAAGTTAATTTTGCTCAAAATGAGTCATAGCTGTTATTGTTTTCAGAAAGTTCCAGTTCCCAAAGTCAAAATATAGATGAACCTTCTTCATTAAGTGATGTATTTCACTCTGAAGCTCTGCCTTTGTTTTCTGATTCTAAAGTCAGCAATTTTTCAAATACATTTGATCCAGAGGGTTCACTCCAAACTTTAGCCACAGTTTCCACTACAAGAACTACCAATGTAGTGAGCAGTAAGAAAAAGATTACAGTATTTACATCTGAAAAGGAAAAAAGTTCACAAAAAAAGAAATCTAAGAAAAGCAAAAGTGACTCTAAGAGGAAAATCAAAAGCAGGTCAAAAGAAAGGGAATCACATCATATTGGTAGTTCATCTGAAGCAAGTGTGTGTGGTCCTCCATCTTTAAAGATAAAAAAACATAAGAAACACAAAGATGATCATAAGCATCGTCATCGCCATCATCATCATCATTGTCATCGTCACCACCATCATAAGAAACATAAGCATGAAAAACGAAGTAATCCAAGTAGTCCTGAACATTCTCACTCCCCATCTTCATCAAGCAATGATGCCACTGTATCAAAACCTACAGCATCATCTGTTACAGAGGATACAGGAATTTCTGCTCAAGACAACTTGCTGACAGCACCTCAATTTGAAACATTAATTGAAGAAAAAGATTCCAGTACAGATGACAAAAATAAACTGTTGATGGTGAAAATTAGAACCAATTCTCCCAATATCCCTCAAGAAGAAAAGAAAGAACACAGTAAAGAAACAGAACCTGAATCATCTTCATCTAGCTCAGACAGTTCTAATAAATCAAATAATAAAGATAAAGATGAAAAACCGTGTGTTAAAGACAAATCTCATCACAAGAAAAGAAAGGTAAATTTTCTACATTAAACATTGTTGCTTATAGTGCTGTGGGGATAGACTAATACCATAATTGATTGTACTTCTATTATACCATATATTTCATTGAATGTTTTTATTTCCATATTAATTCTTTTACATATCTTTGTTTTATAGTTTAGTAATTTTTGTAATCATTTTTATTAATATAATTTTTTTTTCTTCACAGGCATCTAAGCCTTCTACAGACACAAAGACATTCAGTCAGAAGAAGAGACGAAAAGTTCATCTTTCCTCTGTTGAAAAAAGTAAAATAGCAGGTAAGAAAAAATTTTTTGGCAAATTGCTCAGTGGCATTTTTATGTTACAATGGGAATATGGTAAGTTTACACATATTACTATAAATGTATATATTAGAACTGATTTTTGTTTTGTAGTTTTAGGGTACAAGAATTGTCTCTTTTAAACTTAGAGACACTTTTTCATCTTTAATTATTTCCAAACACCAATATAAATATGTATTCATCTAAACATTATACATAATTTGCATGATTCGGACAACATAATTTATGTAGCATATTTTTTTTTGTTTATCTTTGCAAATTCAAATTTTCATTTTGTGTTTAACCTCTTTGGAATTATCAGACAGTTTCTTTATGTTACTCTTCTTTCATTGTTTTATGTGTATCATAATTCACTTTTTTTTTCATATTCTATAACCATCATTTGTTTCTTCTTTATGGATTGAGCTTAACAAAAAAGGAAAGACTTGTGTGCATGAATTGTTTCTGTTAGTTTTGTTTTGTGTTTCTCCATCTTTCTGTGTGTCTGATTTGCATGAATGTTCAACATATTGCATGCAACTTACTTTATACTTCACAGCCTTTCTCCCAGCTCAACAACTGTGGCAATGGGCTGGGAAAAGTTTTCACAGAATCGTCACTAAAGGAAAGGCAAAAAAAGAATTTTACAAGGCAATCACCAGGGGAAAAGAGACAATCAAGGTAGGCTAGGCCTTGGCTAGCATGTACCTAAATTTTGAAAGGCCTGTTCTCCTAAACTTCTAACACTCTCAGAACTGAAGTAACACTGTAAAAACCGTTTGACTAATGCTGGCTATAGTTGTTTGTTGTAATGAAATGCCAGTCATCATAGTAGCGACTTAGTGTTATCCTAAGACTTGTAACAAATTTTAAAAAAGGATGGTTTTGTGCATAGTTTAATAAATAAATAAAATCTTTACAATGCTAATGATACTAACCAAAAACCTTTTCAAATTTTTAAATTGTTTGAATAAGTGAAGATAGTACCAACAAAAGTATAAACTGGGTAGAACCAAATTAAAGATGGATTTGTTTAATAAAAAAAGTGTGTAATTAATTTAAGTAATGACATGTCAAACTGGTACATATATTAATGTAGAAACACAAAATGATACATCATGTGGATAACACAATGAAACATACTGTGAGAATAAAGACTAACTATTTAAAGTGTGCAAGGGTATTTATTACATTGTTATTAGAAATGTACAAATATTTATAGGTATCTCTATAAGAAATTGTTATATACCTGTGTTATAAGAAATACATTTATGTAGCTACATACTGATATAGCTACATAAATGTATTCAATAAGCATTTTGTGTAATCACATACATAAAAACAGAAGTCAGAATTCCACATGTGCCACATTCTTAAAGCAGACAACGTATTATATTAATATGTAGAAAGACCTTCTGCATAACTAGTATTGTGCAGTATCAGCCATATTTATTCATTTATATATAAGCCTAAGCAATATCCTGTCTGTAACATGGTCCGAAAAGAAAAAAAAGAATACTATTAATCGAGTACTATAATTGGTATATGAACATTTTAGTAAAATAATTCATATTGCTTAGAAGTTTAATAAATTAGTACTCCATCAAGTTTGACATTTGTTCCAGAATTGATCCCATTTGTGTGTAAGAACAAAAAAGGCCAACAATATGAAGTTATTCAGGTGTTCTTTATGCATGAGTATGGGTGTTTTTGTTTTGTTTTTTACTTTTGTAAGTTGGAAAGTTATATATAAAATTTAAAAAATAATGGAGATAGTGAATTCATTTTGCAATTCAATGTTAAAATCTGATATGTGTTTTTTTATCTGCCTGAAAACTGTTTAACAAGAAGGATAATGACAGGCAGATAACCAGTTTCAAATGGCAAAATACCGAATGGGATAATGACAGGAAGATAGCATAGGTAACCAGCTTCAAATGGTAAAATATTGAATAGGGTAATGACAGGCAGACAGTATAGATAACCAGCTTCAAATGGCAAAATTCTGAATAGGGATGGAATGCAATTGTATATATTTCTTATTGCTATTTAAAGTTGCCTAAGAGCTAAAAAGCCATAGAACAAACGTAGTTGGTGCTTTTAGTATTGTCCCAGATAGAAACATTTTATCATCCCCACAGTATTTTAACAGCTGAATGTTTCAGTGCTTAGATGACATTGGAAAGCATCCATGAATGATTTTACTGGGTTGAATGTCACCTATAGGTAAAATACCAGGTTTATTGAATACTAATGTGATCCTTTGCTAGGTCAGTAGGTATTTTTGTTTTGATTGTACTTTGCCAATTGACTGTTGTGTTTTTTGCAAGTTTTTTTTCATGAGTAAAATTTATAAAACTGTAAGGTTATTAGTAAATCCAGCCTTTGAACTTTGTCAAGTGTTCAAATAATCATCTTCCAAAGGTTAATATAAACTTCTTTCACAATTTTTAAGAAGTTCTGGTTAGAGCTATGAGTGATGCGAGTCTCAGATATTCTCAACAAGCTTACTACATGAGATGGGCATAGCCCATCATGTTTATGTGAAAACAAATAGAGTAGGCCTAATTTAAAATTGTTACTGTTGTTCAGGAAATATTTTAAATGCTGAATTATAGCATACTTGAAGAATTAATTTTTTTCAATTAATGTATTAATGTTATCACTTTTGTAATCAAACATAACGGTTAATTTCTTGAAACAGTTTTACTACTGTTTAGTAAATCATTTCTAAAAACACTTATGATTTTGAAACGAAATTGGCATTCTAATTTTGTAAAGATTTTAATTGAAATGTGATGTGCATCTAATATTCATGCTCCATGTCTAAGCATTGTTTTAAGTATTTTCTTTGGAAAATTGGCTAATCAAGAGATACGAATAGCATTTCCAAATTAGTAATAAACTACTTACAAAATATTCATTTACTGAAACAAACAACAATGTAAAAAACTACCTAGAGAGTTTTGTTATGTACTATGATACTCTTCTTTTATCTGTTGGTTGTAAATTTGAGACTTGTTTGCCATGCATTAGATTACTGAAGAAATGAATGTTTACACCAGTTTGTTTTTTATGTTTTAAACTGTTTTATTATTTTTTATATAAATTATAATTTATTTTATATGATTGTTCTCATTTATAAGGTAAAATATACCTCAAAGTGTATTTTGTAGGTACCTTTTGTGAGTTCCTGAAACTGGCTGTGAACATGAAGTACTATAAGACACTAGCTTAAACACTGTTTTGATTCCTCCTCTGTAGATTGGCGACTGTGCAGTATTCCTGTCAACAAGAAGACCTCACCTCCCATTCATTGGACAAATCAAAACCATGTGGCAATCATGGGTTGGCAACATGGTGGTGAAGGTGAGGTGGTTTTACCACCCAGAAGAAACAAAAGGAGAAAATCGACTTTTCAATCCAAAGGTAACAAAATACTTCTGTTTTCATAAAAAATGAAGAATATGCTATTTCATTTTTGATTATTATTCTTTTTTTGTGACATTTAGGGAAAAGGTGGTATTATAGTGTCATGTAACCCTTTTTCAACACTGATGTTTAGTGTTCATACTTTTGGAAATGGTTACCAACCACATGCTATTATTAATTTCTACTTTTGACAAAGATGCTGGAAATAAGTGAAAAGAAATATTGGAAATAGAAAAATTATTTGATTTTTCTTTGAATTCAAATACAAAATTAAATAATTTTTCTGTTTCCAATATATTTTTGTTTGTTTGTTTGCTGATTTAATTTGTCTCAAAAGTATAAATTATTTTTGGGTTTGTCTGGGCAAAGACCACATTCACAAACACACTGTTATAATTGATTATTTATTAATTATGCTATAATTGTGAAGCAACAATCTACAAACATTGGATTACATAATCATTAATGTCAAGTGTGTGTACTTTATTACATTAAACATTTGATAATGTCATTTTGCTATAAAGGCCTAATAATCATTGAAGTAAAAAAATACCTTTTATTAATTTGCAACTGCATGTACACTCATGGCATATAGTAAAAACTCCACCTAATGGTGTAAACATAAGTAAGTTATTGATTTTTAAATAAATTTTTCTGTTTAGCATGTATGGATTACAGATAGTGTCTTTTAAATTTGGTAAATTCACTTTGTTCTGCCTGTGTTCATTTTCATTGTAGATAGAGGTAGAAATAAAGAGAGAAACATTAGTAAAGTATAGGTATACTATTAATTTTTGATGTTTTTGCTCTTTAATGTCACAAGTAGTCGTAGTAAAATTTAATCCAAAATTAAAGTCTAGCATAGCTATGATTAACAAAAATAGAACCTGGTAATGTATAAACACCAATCAAGTTGAATTAAGCCAGAGTCCATTTGCATGTTTTTTTTTTTTGAAGCCATGCAATAATTTTATCACAAAACCATTCAGGGATTGTAAATAAAACATTACTAGTTAAGTTTATTGTATATTTAAAGGGTTAGAATTTTGGCTAGATATCCCCATTTTTCATGTTACAAAATCATATGAATGGGATCTGAGATTTTAATTTTATACATGTTTAGGAATAGAGTTTGAAATTTTCTTAATGTATTGTAGATACCAGCAGATATACCCACGTGACACATGCTGAAAGGTTTATGAAAGTTTTTTTGTTCTCCCAAAATATGCCAGTTGCAATATAAAGATTGAAAATACATAAGAATAAAAATTATTGGTGTCCACTGGGCTTGATTACTTAAATAACATTTTATTTTCTATTTTTAGTTTTTTCATCATAAAGCGGTAAGTAACGTGACTTAAAAACATCTCACTTAATATAAGTGTCTATTTTAATATATAAACAGTGTGTGAAAAAGAAATCCCTCAAATGAATGATGGGATCTCAAAACAGAATGCAATTATAGAATTAATGTTTTACCAGTTATAAATATAAATAGTGTTTCTCTTTTTGTACTAAGTATGCTAGTAATGATTGAAAGTATATAGAATGTATGTATACCCCATGTAATGAAAGAGGAAACTGGAGAAATACCATCACTATCTTTAGTAGTCATCCCCATTGAATGATCTATATTTAGCCATCACTGGAGCTATGAAATCTATGCATTTTAAAATAAAAATAACTTCTTTTGGACACATCCCAAATCATTTCTAGTTGATTAACTCTTTAAACCCATAATTTTATACATGTTCTACTGGAATTATTTTCACTATACCTTATAAATTTCCTGTCTTTTTATAAAAGGTGGATAATAATATGATTTGGATTAATTTTCAGCCAAAGAGACATAAATGTTAGCTGATGCTGTCACCATCTGATGTGTAAATCAGGATTTTTGGCCAGATGCTGGCAGTGTCTTCTCGGGTTTACGGAGATAAATCATATTATACAGGTCCAAATGCAAAAGCCTAGGATGAGTTAGAGGGCAAATAAGTAAACTCAAAGAGGAATATGGTCTGAGGTGGTCTCTCTCATGTTGACTTTGTGCATCATGATTATTGAAGAATGGGATCTGAGGTGGTCTCTCTCATGTTGAATTTATTCCTTATGACTATTGAATTATGGGATCTGAAATGGTTTCTTTATGTATCGTTATTATTGAAGAATTGGATCTGAACTGGTTTCTCTCATGTTGACTTGATGTATTGTGATTATTTAGGAATGAGCTTTATTGTGTTGATTTTCATATTTTTACATTCAGGGGGCACTGTTCCAGTCGCCACACACGGATGAAAATGATCTTCAGACAATATCCCACAAATGTGAACTTCTTTCTTGGACAGAATATAAAGCCAGGAAGGTTGCAGAAACCTCACACGGAAATACCCAATATGGCTCAATGTTTGATAATAATTACATTTACTACCTGGCTGGAAGCTATGATCCCCTAACTTTTGTACTGAGTCTAGATGAAGGGGTATCATGAGGTAGTTATTTCCAGTCAAAAATTCTTAAAAGAAATGAAACTGTAGAAAAGTTGCTCACTAGAAATTTACTTTTTATCCAGTTTCAGAAAGCAGGGATTCTTATTATACAATGTGCTGCAAATGTTTTTTATATAGAAACAAATAGTGTAAATAGAATTGTATATAAATATATTGGTTGAGAGAGACTTAAATTTCTTTATACTAATTTATCATTTTGATTTGAAAAAACAAAAAGCAGTCCCATATATACATAGTGAAATTATTACTACAGCTAAAATGTTGACTTATAAATGCAAGAGTATGTATGTATTACTATGTAAGTTGTGATAATGTAAAAGAATCGAGAACTGGCAATTTTCAAAGCCACTTTATAAGAAAATTATTGATTGGCTTTGTGAATACTGGCAGTTAAGCCTTATTGTACTGCATACACAAAAGATAGTTTCTTTAACTGTGTATTGTTTGCAACCATTTTATTTTTAGGAAATATTAAAAGCATTTAATTATAACTTTGAATATTGTGACATTATCAGGTTTTCAATTTACTCACCTTCACACACACACTCACAGAATAGTACACTGTTGTTGTCTGTTTCTTATTCTGTTCACGAAGCTCACTGTGACCTGAGAAACGACTATCATCAGCAATGGTCTTGTTATAAAAATAATATGTTCCTGGGCATTTCTTTGAATAGGTCATTTTTTACAACCATATGTATATGCAGTGTTGATATACCTGGAATATGTTACATATAAATAATAAAAAAAATATTTACATAAAAGACTTGTTTAGAAGTTTGATACCATTTCTTGTCAGTAGTAAACAAAGGTTCACCTATATTGTCACCAGGAAGTTCTGGTTAAAACAATAAAAAGAACATAAAAATTCATTATTGTAAATTATCCAATTATGATTTGGTGGTGGTAATGATTTTCTTTTGTTGAGAGGAACAAAATTTCATCCTGCTACAAGGTATTGAAAGTTGATTTTTTATGCTACTGCTAGTATTAATAATGATACTGTTTGAAGTATGTATACTTGTGTTTGTAAGGCTGGCAGACACTTAAAATGCTTGTGCCTTAAACTGTGACATTATTTTTAAGAAAAGAATAAAAAAGCACATAAAAAGTAATTAGTTTGGTGGAAACATTGTTTATCCAGACTGCTTCTAAGAAACAGAATTTCACTTTTTTATGCTGCAGGTAAACTAAAGAAGAAAATTTAAGTTTTTCATGTAATGAAACCTATAAAGAAGCTTATGGTTATAACGTTTCTCTGGTGAGGTAGTCACAATTCTTGTTATTTGTGACAATCTTTAAAGATTACCTTCTCTGAAGAATAACTTCTTTTACTGTATAAGATATATAGGTGAGTTGAGCATACCCTGAATATCTTAGTAATATTTATTTGTTTAAGTTAAGTGATAGAATTTCATATAAATATTCTTTTTTTTTTCCAGAGGTTATTGAATACTGAAGACTATTACAAATATTATATATATATAATATATATATATAAATATATATATTATTTTTTCTAGTGATTTGATACTATTGAACAAATATTACATGGTTCAAAAGTATCAAGGGCATGGTTCCGAGAATAAAACTGTATGGTATATAGTAACAAAGGATCAGTATTAACTTTGATAAGTTATTGAGCTTTAAGGTACATTACTAAAACAACAACAAGTTAATATAAGTGTTGCTGGTGAGTTCTCTTTTTAAGGGTTCTTTGTTGGTTGCTTGAAATCTAACATAAAAATGAGGTTTTAGCAATCAGGAATTTAACACCATGAATCACTACAGGAAGTAACTGCAGTTCAGTTATACCAAAGTGAATAAATTATGAAAGAAAAAATGTGTTTTGCTGAAGATAAGTCTTCATTTTTTTTATATACCAGTTATTATCTTACATAAAGCAAGTTAAGCTTTTGGATTACATATACCCAAAGCTGTGGTATACAAGTCATTTTGGAAATATTGAAGATGAATTTGAGGCCAAAGTTTGCTGTATTCACTCTATAAAAGTTATACTTTGGTTACAGTTTATTATTATTATTATTGAAAACTTATGCAGAGTATAGATTTTTTTTCTAAAAGATATCTGTCTATATGCAAACATATGTAACTCTTAATATTTTAAATGAAAATGTAAAATATTATAGATATATATTATATATAATATATATGTTATATGGAATTATACTTAGTATCTGTGCCTATATTTTTCTATTGTTAGCTTGAGGTACTGATGAATTTATGAAGGAGTAAATAATGGGAAGTTAGGTACTGTTATCAAGTTGATTGAAACCCAAAAAAAGGAAAAGTTAGCTATTTTGTACAAAAAAATGCATGTTTGCAACTACATCTGTCTGCTATGAAAAAGCTAACAAATGACATACTTTGCCTAACATATTTTTCTTGATGAAATCGAGTCTTTACGTGAAATTTCTTTGGTAATGGTAGCCTTTAATCAAATACTTTTTGATTTGCTTTCATTTTTAAGCTTTCTGTTTGAAGAGGGTTTTGTGTAATAAATAAATTATAAGGTTATGCAACATTCTAAGACATATCATCTAACTATAACTGTGGTATTTTATTTTGTGCATTTCTTGTAAAAACAACGTACTGTCAAGCACTTTGTTTTATGTAATCACTTGTATAGAGAGTCATGCCTGGTTTGTAAGAGATGTTCAATAAATCTGTAAAGTGTTGCTATTTGCTTGTGATGGTTCACTTTAATTTCTTAACACTTTGCTTCAGTCAAGTGTATCACGAAAATTGAAATATATAGAGGTAAAAAAGTATTATAATGAGACAAAGTATTGTTTGTTAAAATATACACAATGATGTGAAGTTAAAAAAACAGATAAAAATTGTTCTAAAGGAAAGATTAAAACACCATTTGCATAATGTGAGCTCTAGAATTATAGCTAAATGATAAGTTTTTATTTCAAACCATAATAAATATTTGAGCCCCCCCCCCCCCAAGTGGCACAGCGGTATGTCTGCAGACTTACAACTCTAGAATTCGGGTTTTGATACCTGTGGTGGGCAGATCACAGATAGCCCATTGTGCAGCTTTGTGCTTAATTACAAACAAACAAATATTTGTATAGTGCTTCCTATTATAAGAAATTGTATCTATCAATAATTTTACATATACATCAACCAAGAGGTTGCTGTAAGATTAGGAACTCTTTTAAAATTATTTTAAGATCAAAAATACTTGTAAAGTTAGAATAAATAATTAAGCTGGAAATAAACTAAAACAAAATAAGCTTGAAGGTGATATCACTTTTGTTGTTGTTGAGTGATTATAGGTAAAAAATATTTCTCTTATAATCTTCCATCCATATATTCAGGTTTTTATTGCAAAGTGGGCCCTTTTGTTTTTGTTGCTTATCTAAAATATTGCAATATCACCCTAAGTTACAAAATAAAATAGGCAGCAGTTAACAGCACCAAAAAATGATGTTTCATATCTCATAACACTGTGTAAGTTAGTCACTTTTTTGGTTAACTTGAGAAATTGGATCAAAATGAGACACTATAACTGAAAAATAATGGTAACTGCATCTTTTAAAATGTTGGCCATATTTATTTGAGATACATGAGTCTACGAATATCTTAGTAAATTATTTATTAGCACATATTTATACATTTTCATATAACAGTTTCTGAATAATATCTTTCAATGCAACATAAGATGTTTTGCTATAGCAGTATTGTGGTTTTCATAAAATGCAGGTGAATAAGCAAATACTGTGGCTTTTCATACCTTGTGGACAATTGGAAGGCCTATAATGGAGGATAGCCTTAGTGTAACTGGATGATGTCATTGTGTTTGCAACAACGTTTGATGAGGAAATGTCCCGGCTAGAGGAAGTATTCAAGCGTTTGAAAACAGCAAACCTCAAACG